TAAAACCTTCATATGGGTACAATGTTGCACTACCCAACAGGGTGAAATTAAAGGCTTGGTTGGTGGAGCTTAAAAATCAATGGTGGCACCATCAGATTACAAAATGCACAAAATTTCCAATGTTCTAAAAACATTTGTTTGGAATTCGACCCATGTATGGCCTGCATATGTAATGCAGAGGGCTGTAGGCAGTGCCGGGTTTAGGAGTGCATATATTTATATATATATTTATTTTATTTATTTTTTTTAAATAATTTTTGGTTATAAACTAATTTGTTTTTTTGTTTTTTTACTAAAAAGATAGAGGAATACATTTTGGCCAAAATTTATGAAGAAAGATTTAGTTGCAAAATTTTATAAGAAACTTTTTTTTTCAAAAATGTTTGGACTTTCATTTATATAGCAAAAGAATAAAAATCCCAGTGGTGAATAAATACCACCAAAATAAAGTTTTATCTGTCTCAAAAAAGGCTACAAAATTCATATGGGTACAGTGTTGCATGACTGCGCAATTGTCATGCAAAGTGTGATAGCACTGAAAGCTGAAAATTGGCCTCGACAGGAAGGGGGTGAAAGTGTCCGGAAGTGGTTAAAGGGGGCATGGACAGCAATAAAAACTGACAGGTGTTCTAATCCCTCCCCACTCTATCCAAAACTAAAACAAAAAAAACAAAAAAAAGTTTTGCCTTTAGTTATACTTTAAAATACTCATTGCAGTACTACAAAGCAGGAAGCAGAGCCTGCATATGTAATCAGCAAATACGGCTACAGCATGTACACAAATAATAAACTATATGTAGAAACAGTGTAAAAAAAACATTAGGTATTTTTTTTTAAAACATCAAGCTAAATAAAATATTAACATCCTAATATAAATAATATCATTCCACCCAACAGTGATATTTCACACAGTGGTTAAGTGGTCAGCACTTCTGCCAGGCAGCACTAGGGCCGTTGGTTCGACTCCCAAACATGACACCACCTGCCTGGAGTTTGCATGTTCTCCCAGTGCGGGTTTCCTCTGGGTACTCCCGTTTCCCTTCTACACTCCAGACACATGCTGGTAAGTTCATTGGCTCCTGTCTAAATTGGCCCTAATCTGTGTATGTATAATTGTGAACTAGGGACTTTAGATTGTAAGCTCCTTGAGGGTTAGGGACTGATGTGAATGTACTATTATATATATATATATATCTGTATAAATTGACAGAGCTATACAAGTACCCATAATAAGAATATAATCCGTTCCTGGTGATCTTAGTGTGCCAAGGCATCTAATGAATTTCATCATACTACAATGCCAAGGTCTACCTGCCATGCCTGGAGTTTGCATGTTCTCCCTGTGCCTGTGTGGGTTTCCTTTGGGTGCTCCCGCTTCCTCCCACACTCCAAAGACATGCTGGTAGGGTAATTGAATCCTGTCTAAATTGTCCCTAGTATGTGTATGTATGAATGTGAGTTAGGGACCTTAGATTGTATGCCCCTTGAGGGTTAGGGACTGATGTGAATGTACAATATATATGTAAAGTGCTGCGTAAATTGATGGCGCTATATAAGTACCTGAAATAAATAAATTGCAGACTCAAGTCCTGTCCACATGGGAGTTTTGGGTGATCCCACCCAACTTTTCTTTCCAGCTACTACTCCTCCTCTTATATTCTGCATAATTTGCACAGTGGGAGCTCCTTGTAATGGCCACAGCAGGTGTGCAGATCTTACCACTCAGGTTTACAATTGAAGGAATTCTCTGGTGGTTTAACTCTCCAGCATCTTCCAAAAACAAACATCAGCTTTGGATGGACTGGGCAAAGTGACAGGTTCTCTTGATGCAACCACCTCCCACCCATTGATACTCCATGTTAAAACGCACTTCCACCACCACTGTATTCCTCTGTTGGAACCAAGAGACTTAAAACCGTATGGAGCTGCATACCCAGGATTAAGAACTCCTTACCCTCCTTCCTAGAACAGCATCCAGACCTGACAAATGGCCACAAAGGTCCAAGCACTGCATTCTAGGTCACATGCTCCCCTCCATATCCGAGAGCACTGGCTATTTCCCATCAGAGAAAAGGACTTGGAGCATGGTCACTTTCAAAGTGAATTTGCACATATGTTGGTGAATGTTTAAATAAAGTGAAACAGAAGTCGCATTTCAAAAGAACACTTAGTCACATAAAAGTATAAAAAAAAAAAAAAAATTTTGCCTCTACATGAATAGATGATTGATGTCAGCGGTTTCACCTCATTCATTACACAAGTGAATTTTCTCTCTGAAAAGTGAATTTTCACTTAGCTTAGCTAATAAGGTGAAATTTTGCAGATTTTAATTAATTATGCGAGAACAAAACGGCTTCTTTAATTTATTATTGAGAATTTTTTTGCAGTGATTTTTCAATTTATTCAACCTCATTCACTAATAAATGAAAATTCACTTTAACTGCTTGCTGACCTGCCGCAGGACATACCTGACCCACCTGTACGTCGTGGCTTTTTTCTGGGTCTGCACCCAACTGGAGCTGCCATTTGCTACAGAAAAAGCTGATCAGTGGGTCCCGGCCAATGATTTATCGGCTGAACGAATCACAGAAGAAAGCTCTGTGTTGGTAAACAACACAGAGCTCTCTACAGACAGCAGTGATGTACCATTTGTTTTCTCCCTGCAAAGCAAAGGGAGTAAAAACGGCACATTGCTTAGTAAAATCAGCACACTTTACACATTGTAAACCTTGTTAAACAGTTAACCCCTTGATTGCCCTTAAATGATAACCCCTTCCCAGCCAGTGTCATTAGTACAGCGAGTGTATATTTTTAGCACCGATTACTGTATTAGTGTCACTGGTGATGTCAGTGTCAGTCAGTTCCCCCGCATCAGATTGCCTGCCACACTATCGCAGTCTCTCTATAAATTGCTGATCACCACCATTACTAGTATAAAAAAAAAAAATAAACAAAGGTTTCAGTATACTGTATATACCATCATGTGTAGACACAAACCAATCAATATACACTTGTTGGGATTTTTTTTTTTTTTTACAAAGTGTAGCAGAATACATTTTGGACTACATTTATGAAGGAATTTGATATGTCTTATTGGATATGTTTTATAGCAGAAAGTAGAACTTTTTTTTTCCCCAAAAATGTTTGATCACCACTGGATTTTTTAAATTTTGCAATATAAACAAAAAAAATGAAAAAAAACTCAAATACCACCAGGCAGCACAGCGGCTAAATGGTTAGCACTTCCGCTTGGCAGTACTAAGGTCGTTGGTTCGAATCCCAGCCACGGCACCACCTGTATGGAGTTTGCATGTTCTCCCTGTGCCTGCGTGGGTTTCCTTCGGGTACTCCGGTTTCCTCCCACACTCCAAATGACATGCTAGTAGGTTAATTGGCACCTGTCTAAATTGGCCCTAATATGTGTATGTATGAATGTAAGTTAGGGACCTTAGATTGTACACCCCTTGAGGGTTAGGGACTGATGTGAATGTACAATATATATGTAAAGCGCTGCGTAAATTGACGGCGCTATACAAGTACCTGAAATAAATAAATTGCAGACTCTGGTCCTGTCCACATGGGAGTTTTGGGTGTTCCCACCCAACTTTTCTTTCCAGCTACTACTCCTCTTATATTCCACATAATTTACACAGTACCTGAAATAAGTAATAAAGCTCTACTTTGTGTGGAAAAAAAAAAAAAAAAAAGGATATGCATTTAGTGGAGTACAGCACTGCATGACCGCTCAATTGCCAGATAAAAAGATAAAGTAGCACAGTACTAAATAGCAAAAAATGGCCTGGCCATGAAGGGGGTAAAACCTTCTGGAGCTCAAATGGTTAAGAAGTTAACACACTGTAAGCCCTCAGTATATCAGGGTCACTGTCATATTCTGTCATGATAGCGTCTTCATAAACAATGACAAAAATACAGCGCATAAGTATTTGGGGTTTTTATTCCTTTAAAATAATTCATACAAATGGTTACACTCACAAACATGATTTTAACCAAAAAGAAAAAAAAAATATATTGCTAGCCTACCACATTACCAGGAAGGAATCAATGTAGGCAATGAAATGTACTACCTTTCAGTAGTCTAGATTTCCCGCATACCACCAATAATATATACTTTTTATTTTTTTTTTTCAATTTTTTTTGTTTTTTAAACTGTTGACAAAAAAACAAAAAAAAAAAAAAAAAAAAAAAAAAAACTAAAACAAAAAGAGAAGCACTATGCTCATTTATACGAAATTTTGATTTTCTCAAAAAAACAAAAAAAAAAAATGTAATGCTGTAATTATTTGAAATAAAAGGGAATCCATGCCAAAATAAAATTTGGAAATAAAAACTTGTGGCAAAAAAAAAAAAAAAAATAAAAATAAAATATACATAAGACAAGCAGGTAAAAAATAACAATGCACTGTGTGGTTTTAAAGAAAATAAAATGGGAAAATGTATTCTCCTGAGAAGGTTGCCAACTGCCTTGTTTACTGGGCATGTTACAACATATAAAAACAAAATTATATTTTTTTTTCAGCTTTTTCTCCATTTCAAAAGTGGTTTGCTGAATGCCTCCCTTATGTTTTTTTTCCCCTATCGATAGTTATGCAAACAAACCCTTTTTATGTTCTAAAAACTGTACACAGACAAGTACATTCATGAGATAATTAACTACTAACTTCTCTTGCTTAACAAAGGACCCAAACAGGACACAGAACAGTGAGGTCAGTCCACTGAACAGGGACAAACTACATTTTTTTTTTAATATGAAGGGGGAAAAAATAAAAAGTTTCCAAATGCTCTCTTTGCCTTTTATACTGTATATTTGGACCGATTTCTAAAAACAGTTACGATCTGCAAGTTCATTATTTTTGCCTCTATCCGGAATCCAGATGACATTGATCTTCATGTTCTAGGCATCTTCAGTCTCCGCTGATCTCCAGATCTCCAATGCAGGGAATGGTCATCTTTTTCAATTTTTTTTTTTTCTAGGTTATTGGCTACAACTGGTCACTCGGATGGTCTCTGTCGGCCTCTGGTTTGACGGTTTGGCCAGGAGAAGGGGTATGGGGTGGGTGAACCACAGCAGGATGACCGTGGGATAAAGGCATGGCGTTGGGAACGATTGCGTCAACTGCAGTTGGGATGCCAGCTGGGGCCACGCTAACGACACCTGGAGGGTACCTGCTATAAAAGAAACTTGGGGTCAGTTTACAGACGGGTACATGATGTCTGCTTTTCACAAGCTGAAGATGAAACATTAAACTGAGAATAAGTATGCGTTTAATAATTGTACAGCAAGATGGAGGACCATGCTGTAGGGCCTTTACCCCATCACATTTTCCACAGACTAGAATTCCATTTTATGGATGCATCCATGCAACTAGAGTTCCTGCCAAACACAGATTTGGTAAGGCTTTCCATACACTATACAATTTTCTGCCCAATTTCCTTTAGATTTACCTTCAACTGTGTAGTGCAAGGGCCCGCCTAATTGGATACAATTGAAAGTGTTGTTTAGGTTTGACCTCCTATTACATGGTTTTTGGTAAATCTAAAGCAATTTTCTAAAGACAATTGTATAGTATATGGCCAGCCTTAGAGTGAATAATGTGTAGAATCAGGGTGCTCAACCTCTTGAAGAGCAAGGGCCACTTAAGTGATTTGGTAACTGGCTGCAAGTCACAACGAACTACGTGGTTTTACCCCCGGTCCCCCCGAAACCACAAATGAAAACGAGCCTTTACTGTCCTGGGCCCCCTATAAGACTGCTTTCACTCTGATCTACTGCGGTTTACCCACAGCACGGGTGCAGCTCAGTGCACCTGCAGCTTTCCAGAGGGTTGTCTGCACATTGCCATAGACTTCTATTACATCTTACAGGTGTGCTGCACTTTCTGAAAGAGCACCAAACCTGCAGAATATAATAGAGGTCTATGGCTCAGTGCGCCTGTGGATCTGTGTGAAAGTAGTCCAATAACCATTGCAAAAGTGCACTGTAAGAGAAGTTTAATGCACTGACCCTTTTCTCTTCCAGCTTCTGCTGGCATTGCTCACCGTCTCCAGGCAGCTAAAAAGGTCCACGGCAAAGCACACTCGGTATCACTCTGCCTAGGACAGGAGCCAGTACTACAGAGGAGGCATCAGCTTATGCGACTCCTGCTCCCTTTATAGCGGCCTGCTTCCTCGACTGCTGGCACCCTGGCCCATGCACTCTGGGATGGAAGGCCGGCAACCCATTGATCGTGATCTAAGCTTGCCGACCGACCATCTCAGAGCACGGCCATGTGCTTCCCTGGTTTGAGATTACAGGCCCCATCACAGGGATTTAGCAACCCTGGTTTAGAACATCTGTATGGTTTTTATAGCTGTATCTGTCCCTACTGACTGCTACAGATCCAAAACATTTTTATGCATGAAAGTTAAAAAAAGGAAAAGCCTTCTGCATGCAGCACCCCATCCAGCCACACCCCCCCCCCCCCCCTTATACGTACCCGATCCCGATCTTGATCCAGCGCTGTGCACGAGTGCAAAGACTCCTCCTCTCTACCTCCTCAATGGCTCAGGGACAGGCTCCCTCTTCTCTCCCCCCTCCACAATGGCTCTGGGACAGGCTCTCTTCTCTCTCCCTCAATGGCTCAGGGACAGACTCTCTTCTCTCCCTCTCTCTCCAGGCTCTCTCTTCTCTCCCCCTGGCTCAGGTACAGGCTCTCTCTTCTCTCCCCCTACTCAATGGCTCAGGGACTCTCTCTTCTCTCCCCCTCAATGGCTCTGGGACAGGCTCTCTTCTCTCTCCCTCCTCAATGGCTCAGGGACAAGCTCTCTCTTCTCTCTCCCTCCTCAATGGCTCAGGGACAAGCTCTCTCTTCTCTCTCCCTCCTCAATGGCACAGGGACAGGCTCTCTCTCTCTCACCTCTCACCTCTCTCCCTCCTCAATGGCTCAGGCTCTCTCTCTTCTCTCCTCCTCCTCAATGGCTCAGGCTCTCTCTTCTCTCCCCCACAATGGCTCTGGGACAGGCGCTCTCTCTCTCTCCCCCTCAATGGCTCAGGGACAGGTTCTCTCTCTCTCTCCCTCCTCAATGGCTCAGGGACAAGCTCTCTCTTCTCTCTCCCTCCTCAATGGCACAGGGACAGGCTCTCTCTTCTCTCACCCTCCTCAATGGCTCAGGCTCTCTCTTCTCTCTCCCTCCTCAATGGCTCAGGCTCTCTTCTCTCTCCCTCCACAATGGCTCTGGGACAGGCGCTCTCCTCTCTCCCTCCTCAATGGCTCAGGGACAGGTTCTCTCTTCTCTCTCCCTCCTCAATGGCTCAGGGACAGGTTCTCTCTTCTCTCTCCCTCCTCAATGGCTCAGGGACAGGCTCTCTTCTCTCTCCCTCCTCAATGGCAGGCTCTCTCTTTACTCCCCTTTTTCCTTCAGTTTGTAATGTTGCTGAGAATATCCAGGATTCATTGCAGGTACTTTTGACCAAGAGATCATTCATGAACAATCGCAGGTACCTTTGACCTGCAGTTGACCACGTTTTGACCCGCACAAGCTGCTATGGCACTCCCATTGACTTGTATAGGGAGAGTAGCAGTTTTTAACCAAAAATGCTGAAACAGACCCAAAATCTTACAGAAAATCTACTTAAGACAGACAGGACATCAACTGAAAATCTTTCGGTTGGAACATTTGTCGGGTTTTGAGTTGGATTAGTTTTATAAGGCTTCACCTGCAGGTGATGGTTTAATTCAACAAGAACATACAGGCAATGTTCTAAAGCGGAACTGCTCTCCTAAAAACTAGAAGCAGATAGATTCACTTTTATCCCAGAAAAAAACCCTCAATTTCCAGTAGAGACAGTATTATTGTCTACAAACATGAGTTTTGCCTACAACAAGCCTTAGCATGGTCTCTCCTCAGCATGTCACTCCATTCAATATTATTATGTGTGCGTGCTCCGAATCCATAGCCATGCCGCTCTTATGAGGTGATCTTTAACTTTGTGTTGCAATGGGGAATGATGACGGATCAGAACGATGATGATAATTCAGATGATAAATCAATATATGAACTCTCCCCTAATCTCATATTCCTCCAAGAGACGAGTAATCTTTACCTCTGGGACAGGCAGACACTCGATCAATATTACAAGACTATAAAAGGGAGTGCTTAACGCCACTTCCAGTCCCGGTCATTATTAAATATTAAAGCCATCATGAATATATGTATATTCGGATATGGAAGCTAGTGGAGCAGTAGGAGTCTTGAAAGGAGTGTGACTGCAGGAGGAGTTAAAGGGCAGGTACTAAGCTTCTATATGACCATAACTGTCAGATGAAAAGGAAGTGGAATAGAAGAAGAAAAAAAAAAAGCGAGAGCAAGAGAGCTAAAGACCGAGAGAGAGAGAGAGAGAGAGAGAGAGAGAGAGAGAGAGAGAGAGAGAGAGAGAACAAGAGAACACGCCAACCAGCCAAAGACCCAGAGAGAGAGAGAACAAGCCAGCCAGCCAAAGACCCAGAGGGAGAGAACAAGCGAGCCAGCCAGCTAGCCAAAGACCCAGAGAGAGAGAAAGAACAAGCGAGCCAGCCAGCCAAAGACCCAGAGGGAGAGAACAAACCAGCCAAAGACCCAGAGGGAGAGAACAAGCGAGCCAGCCAGCCAAAGACCCAGAGGGAGAGAACAAGCGAGCCAGCCAGCCAAAGACCCAGAGGGAGAGAACAAGCGAGCCAGCCAGCCAAAGACCCAGAGGGAGAGAACAAGCGAGCCAGCCAGCCAGCCAAAGACCCAGAGGGAGAAAACAAGCGAGCCAGCCAGCCAAAGACCCAGAGGGAGAAAACAAGCGAGCCAGCCAGCCAAAGACCCAGAGGGAGAGAAACAAGCGAGCCAGCCAGCTAGCCAAAGACCCAGAGAGAGAGAAAGAACAAGCGAGCCAGCCAGCCAAACACCCAGAGGGAGAGAACAAACCAGCCAAAGACCCAGAGGGAAAGAACAAGCGAGCCAGCCAGCCAGCCAAAGACCCAGAGGGAGAGAACAAGCGAGCCAGCCAGCCAGCCAGCAAAGACCCAGAGGGAGAGAACAAGCGAGCCAGCCAGCCAGCCAGCCAAAGACCCAGAGGGAGAAAACAAGCGAGCCAGCCAGCCAGCCAAAGACCCAGAGGGAGAAAACAAGCGAGCCAGCCAGCCAAAGACCCAGAGGGAGAAAACAAGCGAGCCAGCCAGCCAGCCAAAGACCCAGAGAGAGAGAAAGAACAAGCGAGCCAGCCAGCCAGCCCAAAGACCCAGAGAGAGAGAAAGAACAAGCGAGCCAGCCAGCCAGCCAAAGACCCAGAGGGAGAGAACAAGCGAGCCAGCCAGCCAAAGACCCAGAGGGAGAGAACAAGCGAGCCAGCCAGCCAAAGACCCAGAGGGAGAAAACAAGCGAGCCAGCCAGCCAAAGACCCAGAGGTAGAAAACAAGCGAGCCAGCCAGCCAAAGACCCAGAGGGAGAAAACAAGCGAGCCAGCCAGCCAAAGACCCAGAGGGAGAAAACAAGCGAGGCAGCCAGCCAAAGACCCAGAGGGAGAAAACAAGCGAGCCAGCCAGCCAAAGACCCAGAGGGAGAGAACAAGTGAGCCAAAAGACCCAGACCGAGGGAGAGCGCGAGCGAGCCAAAAGACCCAGACCGAGGGAGAGCGCGAGCGAGCCAAAGACCCAGACCGAGGGAGAGCGCGAGCGCGAGCCAAAGACCTAGACCGAGGGAGAGCGCGAGCGAGCCAAAGACCCAGACCGAGGGAGAGCGCGAGCGAGCCAAAGACCCAGACCGAGGGAGAGCGCGAGCCAAAAGACCCAGACCGAGGGAGAGCGCGAGCGAGCCAAAGACCCAGACCGAGGGAGAGCGCGAGCGAGCCAAAGACCCAGACCGAGGGAGAGCGCGAGCGAGCCAAAGACCCAGACCGAGGGAGAGCGCGAGCGAGCCAAAGACCCAGACCGAGGGAGAGCGCGAGCGAGCCAAAGACCCAGACCGAGGGAGAGCGCGAGCGAGCCAAAGACCCAGACCGAGGGAGAGCGCGAGCGAGCCAAAGACCCAGACCGAGGGAGAGCGCGAGCGAGCCAAAGACCCAGACCGAGGGAGAGCGCGAGCGAGCCAAAGACCCAGACCGAGGGAGAGCGCGAGCGAGCCAAAGACCCAGACCGAGGGAGAGCGCGAGCGAGCCAAAGACCCCA